TGTGTGTGTGTGTGTAAAAAAAAAAATATATATATATATATATATATGGTTGGTTGGCTGGTCTTAGCTGGTGTAAGCTGAAAGTAGCTGGTTTCCCAGCCTGACCAGTACAGAAGTGGTCAAACCCCTCTAAAACCAGCCTGCTGACCAGATAAAACCAGTCAACCTACTTAGGCTGGTTTTAGCTGTCTTTTCCAGCAGGGTATATATTTATACAACACTTTTTCTGGTTCTCGAATCTGATTGGCTGAGAGGAGTGCGCAGTGTTTCTCACAGCCAGTGTCATGTCCACTAGAGTTTAAAATAATTCTGTTTCTGTGCCACGGAATGTAGTTTTAAGAAGTCTTGATATGAGTTTTGTAGACAAACAGTGTGCATAAATACACGTTTGTACTAAAGTTACATTTTAATTGGACTTTTATTCTGTTTGTATTCCAGTAATGGGTTGATTCCACGCAGGGGCGGGGCTACACTATAAAGGAGGAGGAGCCATCAGGCGCGTCATGCACACGTCACAGTTCTGGCCTCTCTTCAGACTGAGATTTATTATAATAATGAGCCAATCTAAATTCGATCTGAACTTTGGGTTGGGGTTAGGAATTGTCCTGCATTTTCATGTTTGTAAAACAATAAATTAGTCTTTTTGTTCGCGTTTCATGGGAAAAAGGTGTTGACCAATCATGTTACAAACTCAAAAATGATTTTTTATTTATTATGAAGTTGCATTCCAAACCCTTTTGCTCATCTGCTGGAACAGACGCTATAGACAGCAGCAGAATAACTCCTGAAACACGGGGACTAACACTCAGTAAACACTCGAAGGAACCGGAAACGCTGGAGATATTCAGGAGAGCTCACACCAGGCTTCCTCTTTAATGACTTCATTCCTTCAGAAAGTTCACATGTACAAAATTGCAGAGAATTTACAAATCATTTCTCAAAAACACAGTTGTCACGTGTGCTAAAATGAGCTGAACAACTGCAGAGGAAACAAGGATTTATGTATTTTTTCAAATATAAAAAATATCCCTCTGAACGGTGGATCTGATCATCCACCTGACGCCTCGGATTATTGTGTTACTCTCACCTTCATCAGTGCTCTACTCACAACATTAAACTCTATTGGCTGCAGAGAAATCTCTGTATTTTGGATTATATTTCGAGCTCAGCTTCCCAAATTTCTCTGCAGCTGATCACGTCACCTAAAGCTTTCATAGATTCTAAAAAAAACTCTTCATAAGAAAAAAAAAAAGTCCCAAGCCATTGATTTAACCATCTTGCATCATCCGAATAATGCTTTTCCTAAAATTAACAATCTTGAATATAATATAGATGCATCAATACACATTTCTATAACGTGTAAAGATCACGCGTGTCTGAAGTTGCCCGTGTTAAACGTCACACACTCACAAAGCATTTCTTCCGTGCCCGAGTCCCACTCAAGACCGATATATCGAATTCAACCGCACATCAATTAAAACGATGACCGAAGACAAACCACACGAATTATAAAGCGCT